AGCCATCTTCAGATACCAGTTAACTGACTGGTCAAATATTGTCAGCTGGCCATTTATAATTCTGCCAGTCAAATTAATTAATTAATACCCCATCTTTTTCCCCAGTGGGGACCCTAGTTGGCTTACATAATTGTCTCCTCCTCCATTTCCTCCTCACAACATCTCTGTGAGGTTGGTTAGGCTGAGAGTGAGTGACTGGTCCAGGGCCACCCAACAAGCTTCCATGAGAGAATGGGGATTCAAATCTGGGCCTCCCAGATCCTTGTCTGACAATTTAACAAATATACCCCACTGACAGTGTTCCCTTTAAGCTGAGTTAGTGTGAGCTAGCTCACAGTTTTTTAGCCTCTGGCTCACACATTTTTGTCTTCGCTCAGGAAGGATGGCTCCAGAACAAACTAATTTATGCAGCAGCCAGATCTCCTGCTCACAGCTTTAATGCCAATAGCTCACAAAGTAGAATTTTTGCTCACAGGGCTCCATAGCTTAGAGGGAACATTGCCCACTGACTGTCTGATTTGAATTAGTTCTCTGATTGGAATGGACACAGTTTTGGATAAGGGCTTGGGGTGGGGGAATCGATGTTTTGTGTGCACACGGGTGATTTTTGTCACTGCATTTACCTCACTGCAATTCGGAATAAGGACTCTCACTAATGACGTCTGACGTTAAGGTTTCTGCACCATGTACGTTTTTCTAATTCTTTAAAATGGTGTGGAGGTCCTACCCCTTTGTATGAAATGATATGACTTTTTGGAACACTTTCCTTTGCTTAGCATAGTTTAATTTACGACCATCTTATGAATACCTTTGCACTGCAAATCTATGTCCATTTACCTGGGAATAGACAACATTGCATGCAAAGAGACTTGCATATGATTGTATTGTTACGTTACTAGCTTCATGGTACACCTGTCCAGGTTAATGGGTCTGAAATATATGGAAGCTGTTAAGACATGCTGGGTATGGCTAGAAACACCCTGGCTGCCAGTGTGTAGGGATGGCTCAGAGCCCGAGGAATTCACTCACAAGGCCCCACTTCCATCAGCTCCATAGAGTGCCCGCACAACACAACGGGAGAGGGGAAAAAATCACAACAGACTTGTGAATCTACCCTTTGCTATTCTACCTATTTGTTAACTAAGGGCTCCCGGATTCTGATCTTTGTCACTTGTGTTTCCCTATTGCTTCAGGGTTTTTTTTTAGAGAAGAAGAGATTGGATTTATATCCTACCCTTCACTACCCGAAGGAGTCTCAGAGTGGTTCACAATCTCCTTCCCCTCCCCACAACAAATACCCTGTGAGGTAGGTGGGGTTGAGAGAGCTCTCTCGAGAACTGCTTGTGAGAGAGAAGCTCTGAAAGAACTTATGACTGACTCAAGGTCACACCAGCAGCTGACTGTGGAGGAGTGGGGAATCAAACCCGTTTCTCCCAGATTAGAGTCCGCGCTCCTAGCCACTACACCAAACTGGCTCTCAGTATCAAATTGACCACTGAGAGCAAAACACATATGGAAAAACAACCCCCAACCTTGAAGCAATAGGGACACATAGCTAGATTTATAATCATGGTCGCATTCCTAGGGGGCAGCAAAAATGCACCCCCATTGTGATAGCAGCAGCAAGTGAAGTAGGAGGGATTGGGACAAGATCCACAAGCTTGCTGCTGCTCCCACAACTTCTCCCCTCCCCTCATCATTCCTGTGCAAAAATGCAGGTGTAAGGCAAACACATGCTGAAACCCCCCTTTCTCTTTCTCCACTGAGCCATAGGGTAATGCTACAGCTGGGCTAGGCAAGGAAAGGGAAGAAGCCCTCACAGCTCTCCCAGGATATGAACCGTGTCATGTGCGAATGGAGCAATTATGGATTTGACCAACATCAGTCCCTGTGACCTGGTAGCTGAAGGCAGTGTGGTTCTGACCATCACATGGGGATGGCTGCAGGTCTAATTTAGTTCTCTTCCCCAGGGCTACTTTGCGCTAAATAGATTAAGATTCTTTGTCCAGGCAAACCTAAGTGCTGTACCAGGAAAAAAGCTGGGTTCTGCAATGTGTATCAGTTACGGAAACTGGGACAAGTATGCAGTTTCTCTTTATTTTATGCAAAGGATTCTAGAGTGTTTCCCATCTTGCATGACTGACTTTCCCTCCTCTCTTGATGTTACTAGGGTGCCAACATTCCAAAGCTGAATCTTTGGGCTTCTGTGCATTCTCATTTTCCTTACTTGTTAGTTCCTGTTTCTTAGGGTGTTTTTTCCCGTTTCCCACACGTTTTGCTCCCTCTAGTGGGCAGTTCAATATTACACCAGTTTATGTCCAGCATATCTTCCTGCAGATTTAACCTGGAGGTGTTTAAACCGGACACAAACTGGTACAATGTCACATTGACCAGTAGAGGAAGCAAAAGACACAAGGAACAGGAACCCTACCCCCAAAGAAAAAGGAACTTACAATCAAGGGAAACGAGAATGTGTAAAAGCCCCTCGGGAAATCACTTTCATCCCACTTCACAGACAGCCTGGAGGTGTTTAAACCGGACACAAACTGGTACAATGTCACATTGACCAGTAGAGGAAGCAAAAGACACAAGGTACAGGAACCCTACCCCCAAAGAAAAAGGAACTTACAATCAAGGGAAACGAGAATGTGTAAAAGCACCAGTTTATGTCCAGCATATCTTCCTGCAGATTTAACCTGGAGGTGTTTAAACCGGACACAAACTGGTACAATGTCACATTGACCAGTAGAGGAAGCAAAAGACACAAGGAACAGGAACCCTACCCCCAAAGAAAAAGGAACTTACAATCAAGGGAAACGAGAATGTGTAAAAGCCCCTCGGGAAATCACTTTCATCCCACTTCACCGACAGGTGAGATTCCAGCAGATGTTGCATGACTGAAACGGAGTCAATTCCCTTGGCCCTGAGGCCGATGGAACTGTTGCGTCTTGCAGTTCATGAATGAAAAAGGAGCGCGGACTGGGTACAACCTACATTTTTTTTGCCCCTCCCATCGCTGGTAAGGCTGCATCAGATGTCCTCTGTGGATTGTGCCCTGGGAAGAAGGTTTTAAACAATTGAATACAAACTCCAGAATTCAAATTGCAGCCTGCCCGTTGCATTTTCAGTGGTAATATCTCTCAACTCTAGAAGCTCACTGTTATTTTAGGTATTGTGATATGGCTAAATAAAACAGATTTGCTCTTTTTTTTCCTTTCCTTTTTTTTTAAAAGGAAATTGGTGAAGTAAGTACTTTTGATAAACAATCCAATTTTCCAAACTTTATATTCACAATTCTTTTTCCCCCTCCCCGGTTGTGAATAGCTAATTCTACAAAACATAATGACAAAGTAGTCACAGTCCAAGAAGTCACTTTGCAGTAAAGCCTATTAGGTGTGAGTATGAATATATTTGTTACTGTAGCCTGTAGACAAACATTGAAGCGGAGATAAGTTTGAGCTTAGAATATTGGGTTATATAGTGGACACTTTTTATCTGCTCAGTACTCGTTTGACTCACTGATATTACTCTAATGATGACAGTATCACAGAATGTTGAAATCTCAGCATTTGTACAACTTTGCACAATTACAAAGCCTGAAATTAGCTTGTGTTGTGGGACCCAAAGCCAACCCTTTGCCTCTGCCCTCTTCTCGGAGACATCGGCCCCAGCTGTCGATCATTTAAACTGGAGATAATATTTGCTCAATTCTTTTAGATCCTCAAATGCTGGGGTGACAATATACTGTAGCAGAGATATGAAATATCACCTTCCCCTTCTGATGGCTAGAAAGCCTGTCGGCCATTTTGTGAAAAACCCCTGACTGAGCGGGAGACGGTTCTTCAAGAGGCCTTTTGTACATTACGTGAAATACATTCATTATTCTTTGTTTCTATTTTGATGCTTTGTTTTGGTGATACCTTTTTCAGTGGAGTCCCAAAAGCTTGGAAAATAAAAAGCATATTTCTATCACATTAGAGTGAGAGAGAAAAGAAGAAGACTGAAATTAGGTGGCTGTTGGACAGCTTGAGCAGTGGCTGAACCATATACAGTTATTTGTATCACAGTTAGAGCTCACCTAATCTCCAGACATTTTAAGAATGAGGGGCTAGATTTACCTTCCCCTAGCCCAAGGGGCCAGTGGCACGAAGCAATATGCAACTCAGTTTTATCACCTCTCAGTGCATTGTGGGAGAGGAATTCAGGCCTAAATCCAGCCATTTTTTTTTTAAAGGCATAAAATATCCTGATTATTTTTTTACTGCTTTAAATCAAAGCCGTCTGAAATTGGGAGAGAGACTTGGGGTCTTCACGGCTGACCCCTTTTCACTGAGCCCTGCTGCTGTCAACAGGAAGCAGAACATAAAAACAGCCTCACTTCTATGTCTTTCCGGAAGGTTTCGGAATTAGACTGTCTATGCGCTGCATTTATTTTTTTGTTTTATGCGAATAGTTTACTACCTTGTTTTTGACGTTATATTTATCTGTGACAAAGATGCTCAGTATGAATGTCTGTAGCAACTACGGTGGAAAACAGACAATCTGAAAGAATGTTAAATCTACAAAAATATGATTTTCCCCACTTCATATTTTTTTTTCTTTTCAAAATAAATATGCTTCAGTTTATTAAGAGCTGGTGTCAATGCTAAACAAAATACACATCTTCCAGGAAAGAAACATTCTAGCAAACTCTTCTTTGTTTCTTCTGCTTCTTTGATTTACTAAAAATACATGGTGGACCTTCTAAAATACATTTTTAAATGTTTCTCTTAATTACATTTTTCCTTTGAATTGTGACCATCATTCCCCTCAAAGACACTGAAAGAAGGAGCAAGAATATATCACTTTTCTTCTTCTTTTTTGTATCCCCTCCCCCCTTTTGCTGGAGTCTGGCCACATTTGCAGCTGTGCTGTTAAGGGAAAAATACTTGACAATGAAATAAAGAAAAAAAATATATTTTCTTTCTAATAAATAAAAATAATTTAAAACACTAGAGGCTATACATGACTGCTTTGATTATGTTCTCTTTTTTTTCCTTTTATAAATGAAACAGTTTCCAAAATACATGGAAGCAAAATATTGAAGGCAGACAAACAAAGATGTCTACTTTGCTTTCCAGCAAACTCTTAGAACTCTTTTTCCACCAGTGGTTGAGCATGAAAAGAATAATAAGTGTCACGTCACCATTTGTGAGTCTGTCAGGCTTCTTTTTCTAAAAAAAATATATAAGTTCTGGCCTTCTGTAAGTCAACATTCATCTTCAACTTCTCTGATGGGTGGTATCAAGCTGCTTGTAGACTTATACTGGTTGATCTGATTAGCCATGTGTGTACTCATTGGCTTGATTTGAATGTTTCTGGGATAGGCATTGTCCGGCTCATCTGTAAACCATTTCTTTTCTGCTGAAGAGCAAAAAATGGGTGGAGAGAGACACAACGAAAAGTTTAATTAATGCCAAGCCGAAAGCAGTCGAGAGGAGTTGGGGGGGGGGGGGGGGAGGAACAGAGCAGTCAGTAGAAAAGCGACTTTAAGTAATTGGCCTTGCAGTGAAGGATAATAGATTTAATAACCCTGAAAACACTGATTTAGAAGAGAGGTTTGGAAAGTCTGGAGAAAGCAGGTTAAAGAGAACTTGACTGTTTGCGGAAGAGACCCTTCGGGAGAGAGTGGCGGATAGGGCTCCTCTCTCCGTCGGGTGTGGTTCGTGAAGCGATTAGTGACGAGGGAGGTTTTTTGGGGAGGTACTGCCACAGTTCATACTAGAGCCCAAATGAATCTGCTGCCGTGCGTTCTTCTCGGGAGTTGCTGTTATGACCACTAGTCTCAAATATTCCCGGAGAAATGGACACCTGGATGATCTCAAGATCACATCTTTCTAGAGGAGCCAACTCCGGGTTGAGAAATCCCTGGAGATTTGGGGCTGGGGGAGGTCAGGGACCTCAGTGGGCTATGATGCCATAAGGTCCCCCCTCCAAGCAGCCATTTTCTCCAGGGGAACTGACCTCTGGTAGCCAGGAGATCAATTGTAATTCTGGGAGATCTCCAAGCCCCACCCCCCGGAGGTTGACCACCATAGATCTTTCACCACAGCTGGAATCCGATAGGGGGCATGTAGTGGCGTTTAAGAGCTGCTGGGGTTAGTTAGCTGATTTTGCAGTATTATTTTATATCAGTACTTGGCCCACAGCATGCAAAGGTAGCTAATGTTTGGTTGTATTTGAGAGACGACACATGACAAGAGTGGATATCGGACCGCACTGAGCATTGGTGACAATTCACGAGATTAGGACAGACTCCAAAGTGTGAGGGGATGCCAAAGCCGAGGGCACACAAATTCTTGAACCGTAAGAAGGCAAGCACATTTTTTTAAAAAAAATGTGAACTCAAAATTTCAAAAGGGAGATTTAAATCCAGCCTCTGAATGGCAACATGGGAAAAATGCTCCCTCTAAGCTGTGAGGTCTTGTGAGCAAAAATCCTACTTTGTGAGCTACTGGCATTAAAGTTGTGAGCGAGCGGTTTGGCTACTGCATCAATTAGTTTTCTCGGGAGCCCTCCTTCTTGAGCTGAGACAAAAATGTGTGAGCTGGAGGCTAAAAAACTGTGAGCTAGCTCACACTAACTCAGCTTAGAGGGAACAATGCTGGTTATTAGTTTTCAAACGTTAGTCCAGAGACCTGGGCTTTCGTCTTTCACTAATTCCTCCCGGAATAGGGTTATCACATTTTGGAGATACGTTGCCAACTGTCCTGACATTTCCAAAGGGCAAGGCTGCAGTGGGGTCCCTCACCTCGGAAGAAGGCGTCAGAATTCTCCCCCTCCCATTTATTCAAACGTGTCTTCAGATCATCTGAATGTGATCTGGGTTTTCTCAGGCCTCCTTTGGTGCTCTACAGCGATCTGGCTGTGGGGAAATGGGCAGGCCCCAGAGGACTGTTGACGTGATGACCAAGTATGGCTGAGGAGGAATTCCCGTCAGCATCTAGCTCTGAGGACCTGGACTCTCACAATAATTTCACCCGTGTGCAATCATCTGTGTGACTGGTTTGTTGAGGAAGTCTGGCTGGTTTCTTCAGAGGATTTACGCAGAGGATTCTCTGTGAATACTTTGCTTGTGGTGAATGCAGCAGAGGGCTGGATCCAGCCTGCTTTTACACTGGTGAAAAAGGGAGGGGGGAGACCCCCCCTTTGACAGCTCAAAATGGCTATGCTGGGCTCAATGGAACCTGTGTGGACAGGAGGTACGTGGGTGAGACTGAGAGATGAAGGGAAGCTGTCTGGATCTAACCCGGGGGTCAGGATCTAACCCGGGGGTCAGATGTTTGCCTGTTTCCACGACAGCCCCAGGAAGCACCCTGAGTCTCACCAGGGATGTTGCTGATAACCATGAGCTTGTTTCCCAGAGACGTGGTCTTACTTTTCATTTGTGTGCTCAAAAAA